AAAAAAAAAAAAACCCTGGATTTACAGGTAAATGTTGGAAACGCAATTGGCTTCTGCTTCAGGTGTCTGTAAGGTTCTTACTTTGGGGCTCTACAGATCTTGGCCAGACAGGCTATGACATGGAAATTGCAGTACACCAAGAGACAGAGTCTGGATAAAGTGTTTTATTCTCCCTTTGTTGCTTTAAATATGGGTTTGAATATATCCCATCCTTCTTGAACTTCTTGAGAGTGCAAGACTCTCGCTGTGCAAATGGTCCTGAGCCTTGTTGCTGTGCAGCTCACTCAGCAAAGGGACAGACATGTGGTGTGGAGGGGGTGCTGTCCACAGACAGGGCACATCTCTGAGGATGCTGGCTCTTTGCTGTGGGTTGCAATAAGCAGATCTCTTCTATTTCTCAGGGCTAAAATTGTAGGCTCAGGCCAGGTATTTATATGTTATGTATCTATCTATCAAACACATAGAGCACACACTTTGAGCCAGGCATAAAACCTGAACAGTTTTACCTTAATCCTTTCTCACTTAAAAAAAAGAAATTCTCAGATTAGCCCAGACTATCTTGTCCTGTTGCCATGCACCATTAGTCTTTGAGCACTTCCCCACAACAAAATATTCCCAGACCCCTTCAAAACAACTTCTAATAGGAGGTTTACACATATAGTGCCTTCTCTTCTCTCACTGTAGCTGTAACCTCTTTCTGGGAAGGAGCATTTAGACCCTTATGTGCCTAAACTGCTGCAAGGATCACTAATGATAGCATGTTAGCTTCATCTGTTCTGATGAAAACAAAACAATCATTACATAGTAGCAGAGAAACTGAAGCCCCCACTTACAGGATTTCCCCAAGGATTTCCCAGAAGAGTTATTTTAACATGTTAATGCTTTAAAATACCAACTGTCAAATTACTGTCATTAATTTTCTTCCACTAGTAATATTGATGCTGAATTTGCTTCTATAAGACAATGTAATAAAGTGATTCACATTTAAGGGGACTTCAACTCAAGTCAGAAGGGTCCATTCTGCACATAAACCTGTCCTATATCAGTAATGGGTTGTTACATTTTAAGGTGAGGCCAATGTAAGATAAAAGAGGAAATTCCACTAATGATGTCAGTGCTTCATGCTAAAAATAATAGCACCATTGTCAGCGTATGGCTTCTCCCTGATTACGTGAGAAGACATTGGTAGGATAATTTCATTTTCCAAGGGCAACAGAGACATAGGCAAATCACCCAGTTTAGCCAGTTTTTTGGTGTCTGGACTGTGAAATATTGTTTTATACCAAGGGGGATTAATGGTAACTTACTTAGTATTCTTAGGATATAAAATGTGTTGTCATTTAGTTAAGAAGACCACTAATTACCTACTGACAGAAGATCAATATTTCTAATTTTTTCTTGTGTTATAAAGCTTTTCTTATTAGCTACTCCTACCTTTGTGATCAATACAGTACAGTTGTTAAAAATCATTGAAAAGCTTAGGGATGCAATCTTTTGACCACATAAAATATTCATTTTTATTGTAAAATGAACCTCTAGAAAGGTTCAAAGTATGACCATAAGTGTGTCAGAATTATCTACGATACCTGTTCCATTCTAAAATACATGTTTTTAAAAATCTTAAATTGGCCAGGTATTTAACCCTTACTACCAAGAGATTCAGGGCCATTACAAGATAAATGTTTTTCTCTGCACTAATAAACTGAGAGATTTTCCTACTTCCCAGTGAAATCAATATAAAGGTCATTAGCTAGGGGTTTTGGTATAACAGAGGTTTGAATTGTAATATGGGGGGCATTATTCTCTAATAATAGTGATAATATTAACTGCACCAATGCTCATGGAGCACTGATGGTGTGGCAGATACTTTCCCACCTTCTACTAACTCATATCAGCTACACAATAGCCCTAGGAAGCAGGTGGTGTTGTTATGGGGAGGCACTGGGGTTGCCAGATAAAATACAGGATACCCAGTTATGTGTGAATTTCAGAGAAACAACTAATGTCCCAATGTGATGTTGGACATACTTATAGTTAAACCAAGTTTATATGCATTTGTTTCTCCAAAATTCATATTTTTGCTAAACCTGACAACCCTAACAAGGAGGTGTCTGACGTACCCAAAATTACCCAGCTGGAAGAGGGAGAGCTGGGATTCAAACTCAGCCTGGCTCCATAATCTTTGTTTTTATCAATTTCAATACCCTGTCTCTCCAACAGAGACTGTGGATGCTAACGAGCAATGGTTAAAGTGTGGTTCTTGCCTATCTAGTCCTTAGGGGAAACAAGGGAAAAGAACACTCGAATCTTGGAAGCATCATATGATGCCCTTCTATCTCTTCCAGAAGGTACACTTACTTTTTAGAAAGGAACAGCTCAAAGACATCAGCATCCCTCTTGTGGCCACATATCTTTAGTTGATCTTCAACAGCCTGATAACATATAATTAATCTGTCAAGCCACATTCCACTGAGCAAAATTGCTGAGACACATGCAGTCAATAACAATAATGTCTACACGAAGATCAAAAGAAAGGTGACTATGGGGTCAACCATACTAAACTGATAAATTTCAACACTACAATTACATATTATTTAATCATTTTTGTGGTTGAATTTCATTATCTTTAATCCTGGGCACAGGTGTGTAAATAATTTTTTATCAAAGACCAAAAGTGGATATTGCACATATATTCCAAAAACAAGTTTTCATTCTCTGTGAGGGGGAGTAATTTGGTATTTAAATATTCCTAAATATTCCTTCAAACATGAAGAATTAATATTTGGTAGGTTTTCTGTATTTACAGAAGACAATATCAAGGTTGGAGGTGGAGGGAGTACACCATAATATACATTATCATATAGGTGATTGGCACCCTGTAAGTTGTCAATGTCAGATGAATGAATGAGTGAATAAATATCATTTTCCTTTGCAAAGGAACAGTCTTCATTTTCCTGAGTCCCTAACATACTTGCACTGTGGGAAGTTTTGGTGGAGAAGAAGCAATTTTTATTCCCATAGGCTTTGTTCTGAAAATACACCTCCAACAACAGCTATTTAAGTGCTTTGCTTTTTCTACTAAAGGTCCTTTGCTAAATTACAAAATAACATTTATAGGCCACATGGCCTAAGATGATATGGAAAAACTTAAGCCCATCTATAATTTGCCATGAAGGAGTAAAGCTAATGAGACACAACAAAAGTAGAAGGTACAATCGTTGCACTCCTGGAATCTGACAAACATTATCAGAGTCAAAACAATCACCAAATTTCAGCTGGGATTTGTTGTGGGTGGGTGGTAAGGTTGTAATGTCAGTGATTTATGAGATTTTGGCAATGGTTTCATTATTTAAAAGAGGAATTTAAGAAGAGTTAGATTTTATGGAAGGAATAAATATCTAAAGACATGAGGAACGCAGATATCCCAGAGATGGATAGCAGCTAATTTATATCCCAAACTTCCTTTGTTACCCTGTTACACAAGCTGAACCTTGGAGCTTAGAGAATTCACTGGCTCAGGTATAGGCATTTCCCTGAGAGTACTTTATGAACCTGATAAGCAAGCTGAATTTGGGTCTTGAAAAAATCCATTGGCACAGGCTTAGACATCCACATTCGGATATTTTAACTTAAACATCTAAACTATAAGCTTCCACAATACATAGTCAATTGCAACTTTGCCAAAGTGTTTGGGATGTTAAAGGCCAACTGAAATAGAATTAAAATTCTTCAGCTATCTATTAAAATTATAAATGTGCTTGTACGTTGATTCCAACATTCCACATTTGCACTCAGAAAAGCATGGATGCATACACACTCTCAAAAAATGTCAATATCATTGTTCATCTCAGCATATATTGTCTCTAGTTATGAAATATGCCCACTAATTGGAATATGGGTTAAATTATGATGTAATTTCACAATGGAATACTGTGCAGTAGTTTAAAAATACAGAGAGATGGATGTATAAATGCAGAAAGATATCCAAAATATATTTTAAAGTAAAAATGCCATTGGCAGTATAATGAGTAAGTGTAATTATATTTTTGTTACCAATGACACTTATGTGCATGCAAAATGCACATAAATTTGTTACAAAATTTAGCACTTGAGATCATGGGGGACTTTCTAAGCAATACATTTTAAAATAATGTTTGAATGTTTTATAATGAACACATATTAATTTAGTACTAAGAAATTAGTATGAACTGAAAATTTTAGCCATGGTGTGTAAGGATTTAAATCAAATTTTAAAAAGTAACTGGAAAATTGAAACATCAGTATAATAGGGAAATCACTGTTGTAATTAATTATTTATTTACACAGCTTTATATCATGGATTCTTTCCAACCAAAAATTTCATATGAATCTGGTAACAAGTATTAATATGAAAGAGCCAAAGAACACGAAAACATGCCAGGAAGTTTCAAGTTTCAGTGAATTCCTGTGAAACAGTTCCAGCTCCCAGTCAAAACACAATTTCACGAGCAACAGATTCCTTTTATCTAAAGAATCACAACATGCATTCTTTCCCTGAATTGTTTTTTTCAGCTGTGGTGAAGTATACATAATATAGATAACACTATTTTAACTGTACAGTTTTATGGCATTAAGCATATTCATATCATTATGCAACCAGCACCACTAACCATTTCCAGAAGTTTTTCATCTTCCCCAAATGAAAATCTAGACCCATTACACTATCTCTCCATTCCTCCACCCCTGGCAATCTCTGTTCTACTTTCTCTCTCTCTGAATTTGACTACTACAGGCACCTCAGTTAAGTGCAATCAGACAATATTTGTATTTTAGTGATTGGCTCATGTTACTTCATAATGTCTTCAAGAATCATCTCTTGTGTCAGAATTTTCTCCCTTTTTGGGGCTGAATAATATTCCATTGTACATCTAGATGACATTTTGTTTTCCATGTATCCATCAATGGCGTCTTGCCAATGTATTTCAGCCCTGGACAAGTTCACTATGGATTCAATGAGACCAAAGAAATGACAATGGAACATTCTTGGGGTGAAAGGGTTTATACTCAACTTCATTTCCATGGTGGCAGATCAATCACTAGAATTCCACCCATTCAGAATGCCATCCACTCAGAGTGAGTCTGCGTGCAGCAAGCTGGTCTCTGCCTCTGGGTCTCTACCCCCGCAGCAGTCTCAGTCTCTGTCCTTGGTGCTGCCACCACTCCAGTCTCATCAGTGCTCTCCTGGCAGCCTTACAGCAGTTTTGCCCAGAGCACTGGGCAGAGCTCTTTATATAGAGTCAATAACAATGTATTGCCCACACGTGTGTAGTGAGCTAGCACCAGGGCCAGGTGAGAATTGTGGCCACAGGAACCTTCACTTTATCCACAGATGGACACTTGGGTTACTTCCACATTTTGACTTTTGTGAATAATGCTGCTTTGAACATGAGCCACATTTGAACAGGTATTTGTTTGAGCTCCTACTTTCACTTCCTTTGAGTGTATGCTCCAAAGTGGAATTGATGGATCATCAATAATTCTATGTTTTTTGAGGAAATGCCATAGCATTTTCCACAGCATCTGCACACAATAACATTCTTTAAGTTGAACACTTTTTCAATAGTAGGTCCAAACAGACCATGTTGCCATTGAACCACAAACTACTGAGTGCTTCCTTGAGGCTGTGACTAGTTTAGTCTGTGACCAGCTAGAAAATGTAGCAATGAATCAGGTAAGGTGCCTGACCTCTATGAGCAAGCCTTTAAGTAGAAGTAAGGGACATACATTCCTATAAAAGAAGGTTGCAGATGTTAAGAGCTTTAAGAAGGATAATATGCCTGGTATATTCAGAGTAAAAAGAAATTACTCAGCCTGGGAACTCTGAGATTTCAAGGCAGGACTGGTGATTTGGTTGGGTCTGAAAGGGTCAGGAGAAATTAGAAACAAAATACTGATGGATGGATGTTTTAGTCAGAGAGAACAAGTACACAAGAGAAGAATCAAGGAAGAAGGTGTGAAATGTGTAGGCTGTACAGACTTAGACCACAGTGAAAGGTACATGACGGCAACTGAGAGACATAAAATAAAATGGTGGTTTGGGGTCTTATTATTTGTGTTAACTTTGAAATTTAGGCTCAGAAGTGTGTACTTATTTAGTGTAGTATGCAAACCAAACTTTCATAGGCCCGAGACCTCAACTGAACTTAAAAGCACATATTTTATTTATTAAGGTATCACTGATACACAATCTTACGAAGGTTTCACATGAGCCACATTGTGGTTACTACATTCACCCCTATTACCAATCCCCCACACACACCCCATTGTAGTCACTGTCCATCAGCCTAGTAAGATGCTATAGAGTCACTACTTGTCTTCTCTGTGCTATACTGCCTACCTGGTGACCCCCTACATTATATGTGTTAATCATAATGCTTCCTAATCCCCTTCCCCCTCCCTCCCACACACCCTCCTACCCTCTTCCTTTTGGTAACCACTAGTCCCTTCTGAGGGTTTGAGTCTGCTGCTGTTTTGTACCTTCAGTTTTGTAAAGCACATATTTTATGTAATAAGTAATTTAAATAAATTTTATATAAGATACATACACATATATATGTAATCCATATACTAACCACATGGTAAATCAGTGCAACAAAGTCCAACAAGGTTCTAGTTTTCCCCATGACAACTACATCAGTGCTCTTAATATCAAATTATTTTGAAGAGCTTTGTCCTCTTTTGGAGCCCATGCTTTGCTGGTACTCTAAAAGAATGGGCCTAATAACTACTGGGTAATTCTGTTTTGGACTCAGTTCTCGGACACTCGGCATCAGAGCATTGTTAAACTGGAGAAAAGAGGTGACAAGCCAAGGCCTCAGGAAAATGACTGTAGCCTGAGGTGCAGAGAGAACTGCAGACAGGAAGCAAGGCTGCCTCTGGTAAATTAAGGTAAGAGCTCATGAGCCTTGGGATAGTGGCAGGTGGGAACACACAGTGAACAGGTAGGACGGGAGGTGTACAGGGAGAATTTGTGGGAACTGGAGGCAGAGACGAAAGGCCAGCAGAGACACAGGTGGTTATGAAAATGTCATGACCTGATGATGAGCCAGGGAAGGGAAGGTGAATTCAGCTGAGAAATATAGAGGCACAGGTGGAACAGGCATGTCAGGCGTCCATGGGAAAGCTGCAAGCCCACCAGGGGATCTCACCAGAGATGTACAGCCCCATGAGTCAGGTCAGTGCAGAGGAGAGAGTGGCACCAGGTAAGAACATTGTGAAGTATTTATTTCTAGAGAGGGGAGGAGGAACCCAAGCCTAGACAGGAGACTGGGGAGGGAATGGTTCTAAAGTTAGGAGGAGAAACAAAAGGACAGTGGGAGCCCATGGGGCTAATTCCGGAAAGGTAGAACTTGAATTTGCCATGTTGCATAGGGTGGTAGAGGATATTACTCAGAAAAGGTGTTGAATTTTGGGGGGTAATTTCAGTTGCCTGGTGCATGGTGAAAATCAAACTAACTGGTTAATTTTAAAAATTAACAGAAAAACAAAACCAATCCAACACGGGACTGGGGTGTGGAGAGTTCTAGCACAGGGAGGATAGCGGCAGCTTCCTCCGCGGCCTGATGCCTTAGAATCTAGACACAGAGGGGAAAACAATGTTCGAACGTTGTGGGATTATTAAATCCTAGGAGAAAGAAGTTTGTACCAAAATCTAAAGAAAAAAATAACCCTCTCTGACAACGTACTATTGTAATGATAAATTCCAGTACCTACGTGCAACACTCGCGTAGCACAGGTTGGTTAGGACTTCGTGTAAATAGCTTTGAATTCAGCCCAGAGCTCGTGGGCCGGCTCAATCCTGGGAGCCCCAGCCTTCCCAGACAAGTCCGAGAACTCGAGAACACTTCACTAGCTCCATATGTGGCACAATGTCAACCTTTTTTCCCCACTCAAGTACTCGTTAAGCCATTATCTTAACTGCCCTATCTCTGCTTGATTTGTTCATCAAAGAACCTTTTCTTTTTAGTGTGTCCATTTGCACTTTGGGGGAACAGCATTTCAGGGTTATGTATCTCTTGGAGAGTCAAGCCCCCAAATCCATGGCTTTATTTACCTAATTTCTAAACTGCCATAGACGTCTGTGCAGCAGAAGGGGAAAAGACAGTGGAAGGCTGTCAGTCAGTGTGCAGCCTGGCAGCCCCCTAACCTTACCCCGGAGACTGCAGACCTCCAGTCCCTGAGGAGGGCCTGGGGTCTGTCATCTCCCCACCCCTCGGCCCAGACCCGGGGGCAAGTATCAGGTGGGCCGGGGTTTTCCCTAGGGACCCGCGGGGCTCGTGGTCTGGGGAAGGGGGCGCCGCTCACCTTGCGGCTGATCTCCAGGGCAGCTTCTGGCGCCCTTGTTACGCTCTTCGTGCGTCGTAGGAAGGCACGAGCCGGATGGTTGGGGTCCTCGGTCATCAGGACACCACAGCCAGCAATGATCCCCTCAGCCTGGCCCGCAGCTCATGGTTCTGTTACCAACACTTACTGCAACCTCGTCGACTAAAAGCCAATTCACACTAAGGAAGATTGAAAGCAAACCCCGACTTTTGTGACGTGCATGCGTGTGGCCCTGCACCACCCACCACGTCATACGTCCAACACACTCGGCAGTCACCCAGTAACAGTAATTTCGCTGATTTGAGATCTGAATATCAGATGTGTCTGGTGACCACTGGCCCTATGTGAAGCAGGGGTCTCCAGAATCCTAGTGGAGCTTGAGGCAAAAGGTAAAAAATCCAGTACTGCTGATTCTGTCTTTAAAATTTGCCATTTTGCTCATCATGGATGCTTTTGCATTAATTTTGACTTTCTCTAAAAAATACATTGTACAAAATATTTATTTTGACTACTGAATTTTGAATGTCCCTTAAATTTTTGTACTAAGGCCAGCACCTCATTTGCCTTACCCTGGACGCAGTCCTGGGATGGAGATGAGATGGTGGTTTCAAGGAGCCCCAAGAGCGCAGGTGCACAGAAAAATGCAACTCTTTGCTGACCTTATTGGCCAGGAATAAGAACATGTTGGTCAGTAGCTGAGAAGTCCTTCCTTTGGCAGAAAATGGGTAAGTTGAGCCGCTATTTGTTGAGTCTCTTCCAGTATGGATTTTTGTTTAAACTGGTTGCTCCCCTAGCATAGGCTATCTTATGATGTTATTTATATGAGTTTGGTTCTCCTCTAGCTTGGGTAATTTTGGAGGCAGGATTCTGTCTATGCCATCACTGTTTTTTGCCAGGGCCTAATACACTGCATTCAGTCAATGCTGACTCAGTTGAATGAGTTAGTTTCTTGGCTCTAAATTTGAACTTGAAATCTAGGAATTAAATGCAGCTTTTTGAAATAGGTCAGGCAACTTATGTACAAAAATGCTGGTATTGGAATAGAGCATTCATAAATCTCTCAGTGAAGAAATCAAACATGGCTATTTTAGTATTTCTGAAAAGTATTTGGGCCTGGTTGAGGTGGGTTGGTAAAGTCCTCTAATTTATCATGAAGGGAGGAATCATGTGAGAACTATTGTTTAAGTCTTTTTTATCCCAGAAATCAGTTGAAAGGAAAGGTCCACTGAGAAAATGCATAAAATAATTTATTGGCCTCTTAGCTCCCATATTTGCTGTGCATATGTGTTATAGAATTTCAGATATCATTTAAGGATATGCTACAAAGAAAAATGGAAATGCATACTAATTGGTCAATTATGTACATTACACAAATGTGAGTTTTAGATCCATATGCAAAATATTTTCAGAGAACATCTTAGTGAAGTAAACTACCAGCCAGTTAATTTCTGTTGAAATTATATTTAAAAATTTAATCCATGATTTATTTTTAAAATCTTTTTTACTTTATAATGATTAAAAAGAGAAAAGATCAATAATATTGTAATTAATTTTGTATGGTGGCAAATGGTAACTACTTACTGTGGTGAGCATTTTGAAATGCATATTATTGTTGAATCCCTATGTTGTACACCTGAATCCAACATAATATTGTATATCAACTGCATTTCAATTTAAAAAAGAGAAGAGAAAAAACCCAAAAAATGAAACCCAGTTTTGTTCTTAGGAAAGGAACTCAGAACCTCATTTATTATAAGGCCTTAGTGTGTTCCCCTTTCAAGAAAAGTTCACAGTTTAACTGATCATAAGGACTAAAATAATGCAAATTTAATTGTGGACTGTCAAAGATGGAGGTTAGTGAAGGCAGTTTTGGGAAAAAAAGTCCTTCCTAGACATCCTAATATTGGTAGTATAAAATTTTTACAAAAGAAGTATCCTTAGCAGAGTGGGCACAGAGAATTTTTACCTCCAGGAGGTGGGATTTTAGCCTGAGGAATCCAGCCTGAAATTTAAAAAATTCATGTTAAATGTATATTCTCTTTTACAATCGATCTTGTCTTAATATAAAAATAAAGTGGTTCCTCATAACTCTCCTCAAATCTTTGAGTAATATTTACATTGATGCAAGACACACAGTGTTTATCTGTGGCTTTACCCCCCTGGCATGCTGCCATTGCCTGCAGGAGTATGCATACCCCAGTTTGAAAGCTCTATCATATCATGTATATGGGTTTAGATAAGAAGAAAGAGCCCGTGTTCCAAGTCAGGGCATGTGGGGTTTAGTCTCAGCTCTGGTATTAACTAATTGTTGCCCACCTTCAAGTTCTTAATGTCTCTGGGCTTTAGTTTCTTCAACAATAAAATGAAGAAGTGGGTATTTTAGTTTAAAAAATCTGTTTTTATTTATACTCTCCTAGACTAGTAGTGTGTATTATTTACAGAGTAAAAGGTTCTTGTTGAGATGTTGACATATCATTGTTTTTAAGAACAATTTTCCAGTGTAAAATGTGTGGAAAAAAATTGTGCATGCGATGGTCATTATTAAGTCTATATAATTTTTAAAATTATCTTCCTAATTTTGTCCTGAACATTTCCAGTGATCATTCTAGATATTATTTTTCTGAGTGAAAAATATTAGATAAAATAATCATTATAAGCCATTTTTGCCTGTATAGAATGAGCATAAAATAAGCAATATATCAGTCACAATCAAAATATATTCTTATATATACATACAAAAAGATTAATCTTTGTTGTGATACTGGATGACCAGAATATCAATGTTTTCATTGTTATAAGTTTAGGTAAAATAGCATACCTTGTTAATTGACAGCTACAATTTATTTTGTTTATTTACATAAAATGAAAATAATAATGGAATATTGAGAATTCATGGAATTCTCCATGAGTCTTTCATGTTACTACAAGTCATATGAGAAGAGGTAATGACTGTCTTTGTTCAGGACTATATTTTAAAGAATATTTAGATAATGAACAGGCTTGGAAGATATAGTGTCTACTTCTAGAAAGGGTGAGTGTGTTTATTTTTCTACTGCACAGCATAATAATGGTAATGTCTCCCTCTCTTACAATAAAGATAAGGTCAGGGACAGATGGTAACTACACTTATCATGATGAGCATTTGGTAATGTGTACAAATCACTCTGTTGTACACCTGAAGCTGATATGTCAATTATATCTCAATTAAAAAACAAAAGATAAGGTCAGGTAAGCTTACTGGCCAGTGTAAAGGATTTGGTTTCCCTAAACTCAAGATTTCTCTCCAACAACACACACCACTGTATGGGGCTACATTACATGGCCTACTTCGCATTGCCCTCTGGAAATAGCAGCTAGGGTAGCTGGTGCAAATACTGATATTCTACCTATGCTAATAATGTCAATAATAAACTGTCCTTAGTTTTTGAGCCAGAAATCTCGTATCTTCTGCCAACATTTATAAAACTGTGACTGGCTACCTTTTGCTTCTGCTTGCGTAGGTTTTATTTTTTTTAATGAATAAATGTATCCATATAATTTGTTCTTCAGCTTTCCTATTTCTCTTTACCATGTCATGAAATTCCATCTTTTAAAGTCAGCTACTGAACTGAGTTGTTGCACTGTGCTCCATTGTAATGTATCTTATGATTTATTTACTCATTACTCTATCGATAGACATTTATGTTGTCCAGTTTTTAGCTATGATAAACAATGCTGTTGTAAATAACTTGTGCTCCTGGGTTAGTATTTCATTAGCTGAAATTCCTCAATGGTATTAATGAGCCATATATAAGAGTGTCCCTTTCTCTATAGGATATCAGTCTCATCAAATTTTGCCAGTCTAACTGGAGAAAGGTTTTGTTTTCATTTCTGTTCGTTTAGTGAAGTTGAGTGTCTTTTCAAAGCTTATTGGTCATTTGTAGTTTTTTCTGTGTATTGTCTTTTCATAACAATTGTTTAGCTTTTAACATGCAAATACAATTAACTGAAGCCCTGCAAGCTAGATCCTGAGAGTTCACCAGTTACTTCTTGAAGTTACCCAATGGATTGCTTCAGGTCATCTTGCAGCATTCTGTCTTCCCTTGCTCTCCTCTCCCTGGCTAATGCCTGCTGCCCTTCAGACTATTTAAGTAGACTTCATTTCTCTATTGTCAAAGTATCCTTTTTCTGATCTCCAGGATTCCTGCTCAGGATTCTTTCACCTGATGCTCTAAATGTTGCCATATTTTGAATTATTAGAGGGGTGGTGGGTTCTGAGCTATCAGCGAAAGCATCAGTAGATAATGAACAGGCTTGGAAGATATAGTGTCTACTTCTAGAAAGGGTGAGTGTGTTTATTTTTCTACTGCACAGCATAATAATGGTAATGTCTCCCTCTCTTACAATAAAGATAAGGTCAGGGACAGATGGTAACTACACTTATCATGATGAGCATTTGGTAATGTGTACAAATCACTCTGTTGTACACCTGAAGCTGATATGTCAATTATATCTCAATTAAAAAACAAAAGATAAGGTCAGGTAAGCTTACTGGCCAGTGTAAAGGATTTGGTTTCCCTAAACTCAAGATTTCTCTCCAACAACACACACCACTGTATGGGGCTACATTACATGGCCTACTTCGCATTGCCCTCTGGAAATAGCAGCTAGGGTAGCTGGTGCAAATACTGATATTCTACCTATGCTAATAATGTCAATAATAAACTGTCCTTAGTTTTTGAGCCAGAAATCTCGTATCTTCTGCCAACATTTATAAAACTGTGACTGGCTACCTTTTGCTTCTGCTTGCGTAGGTTTTATTTTTTTTAATGAATAAATGTATCCATATAATTTGTTCTTCAGCTTTCCTATTTCTCTTTACCATGTCATGAAATTCCATCTTTTAAAGTCAGCTACTGAACTGAGTTGTTGCACTGTGCTCCATTGTAATGTATCTTATGATTTATTTACTCATTACTCTATCGATAGACATTTATGTTGTCCAGTTTTTAGCTATGATAAACAATGCTGTTGTAAATAACTTGTGCTCCTGGGTTAGTATTTCATTAGCTGAAATTCCTCAATGGTATTAATGAGCC